GAATGTTACAAGGTATAAACATCTTAATTGCTTTGTGGATTCAATTCAATTTTTATAATATACTGTTCTGAAAAGGTGGGAAAACATTTTGCTTTCAGTGAGTCTGCATTCCTAGTCATTAATATCCTTGGCCCAAGCACTTGGACATGGATGTGGGCACCCCAAAGCAATGTCTTAACTCCAGAAACAAATGCATGCCTCAGAAGTATTTGTAAAATAGCATCCCCAGGCACTGGCATGGAATAGCAGGTAAAGCTGCTGCCTATGATGCTGGCCTCCCATGTGGGTGCCAGTTTGATTCCCATCTGCTCCACTTCTGATCCACTTCCCTGCTAATGCAGGTATGGCCCAGCCCTTCGCTCTGTAATTTTTTTTTTCAAATAAATAAATAAACTTTAAAAAATAGACAAAAATATCATCTTCAGTACACCAATCTAACACATTAAGTTTTGAAGATGCTGAGAGTCACAAAAGCATGGCATGGGCTATGTTAGCAATTTGCTCTAAAGGAAATGAGACCTTGAAGCCAACGTCAGCATCAAAGCCTATGAGGCGTTACTTCAACCTCCCCACTCCCAGCACAGGGCAAAGTCTTTTGCAAAGTTCTCTTTTCTACCTGGCCAGGTGAACCAGCAAATGGACATCACTCTCTTCAGTCTTCTTACTGAAAACTCATCAATTAGAGAAGAATAAACTTATATTGCAGGAAGTCTGAAGTCTGTCAACACAGCTAGACAGATTTTAATCATACACTATTGTCTTACAGTTCTGCTCCATAGGGAAACATTTAGAAATCATTGTTCTGCAGACCCGGCAAACTTTACTTTCTGCTGTTGTGCTTTCTCCAAGACCAATGGCTCCCTCCCAAAATCATTTACTATTTTCTTAAAAATGGTCTACATGCCCAGTCCTCCCTCTGCCTGTGTATAAGCATCTGAACCAGGTAGCCTGGTGGTTAATCAGACTCCTACAATTTCCCCCATGCAGTGATTTTTGTTTATGGCCGCCCTTTTGCACATTAGTATATGTGTGTGCCATTCCTCCTACTTTTTCTATTGTCAGTTCATCCCAAAGAATCTTCAGAGAGTGAAGGGGAAATTTCCCTTTGTGCCTATAAAAATTGTGTGCCAACATATCAGTAATAAATAAAAGTGTAGGTGTTTGCATATACACACACACATACAAGGAGAATTCAAAATTACATGGACATTTTTCATTAATTTTTAGGTTCATTTGCCTATGAATTTTTGAAGATATATATATCTTTTGAAGATATATAAATATATGTATGTGTATATATATTTGCATGTGTCCCCAAGGATCCACATGTTGGCGCTCCATCCTCAGGGTGGCATTGAGAGATGGTGGTCCATTAAGAGATGAGAACCAATGGGAGGCCCGTAGATCACTCTGAAAGCTTTCTTTTGGAGGGACTAAGGTTGCTTTCATGTGGTCTCTGAGCTCTCCTGAGTGGGAGATGTCAGAAAAGTGAGCCCCGCCTCTGCCTTGCTCTCTCGCATCCTGCATTGAGACATGATCTCTTGATCTCTTTTTCCCATACACGCTCTCACTCTTGTGACGCCATCTACTTTTAGGCCTTCACCATGGTGGAACCAATGGGACCACCCAATCTCTGGATTTTCAGCCTCTGAAACTATAAGATAAAGAAACCCCTTTTCTTATGTTAAACTTCCTCAGGTATTTTGCTATAGTAATAAAAAATAGGCTAATCCAATAGTCATCATTATTTACATCTCATTCCTTTTCAAGATTTTATACACTTCTTCAATTAGCCTGGGAAAGCTAGGAGAATTCAATACAATAACAATATATGATTTAGGGAGGAAATACAAACTAGAGAATCACAAATATAACACTAGATAAGATGTGATTATACTTTCCTGAAACTGATACTTTAAGAGAAAAAGGGGTCTTAGATATTTATTGGAGTTTAGGACATGCTATTCTAAAATATGACACCTTGGCAGTTGGAAAATAATAGAAGCAGAATGATCACTCTCAAATTCACCATTTCCCTTCTATCCTGAAGAAATAAACCTGCATTCCAAAGGACCTTCCTTAACCTCAAAGACACAGAGACTCCAGGGCATATCTGAACAACTGGCCTTGCTGTTTCCTCCAGTTTATTACCGTTAAGTCACACTTACTTTGTCTAATCATACTTCCCCCCGACTGGCCTTTCTTCAATAAACCTAAATATAAAGATACATGGCTTATTCTGCTTCTTTGAGTCCTCACTTCTGAAGGTCCCCATGTCATGCAAAACTTATGTTAAATACATTTGTACTTCTTGTTAATATGTCCTTGATGTAGGGACTTCAGCAATGAACCTAACAGTGGATGAGAGAGAATCTTTTCTTTCCTACAGCTGCTTCATCAAAACTTGGTTGGTAATCAATTATTCATCATGACTACTTTAATAGATCAGCTATCTGGAAGAAATCAAGTAGCTTAAGTTTTAAAGATTCACCTTTTAATCCAAAATAGATAAGTTGCGGAAGTAGCAACTAAATATAATTTATCTCTATCTTCATAAAACAGAAGAGATTATGAAATATAGTTCTGATAACATAAAGGGAGCTTAAAGTGAAAAAGTCTTTCTCCATCATTCTGCAAAACAACAGTAACTTTGAGAGTGATAATACTTCTCTCCTCTTAGTTCATTATCATAACCATTTAATATTTTGAATTTATTTAATTCTATGCTTGCCAGTCACTCAAAGCTATCTGTACACACATCATGAAAATACTTGTAGAGGCTTAAAAATTTTACATTTGGAATTTAAGATTATTAAAGTACAATCCTATAGCACATTTTTAAAATAGGGAAATATATTAAAAATCTTAATTTTAAGGTTAATTTAGTATGGCAGAGCAAAGTAACATAGAGGAATATTTCACCTACTGGACAGGCTTTTTAAAACAATTAAGTTTTAAAACAATTAAGTGGCTGTGAAAACATTTTAAAATGTATTATATACATTTTAAGTGTATTATATTAATCTAAATCATATAAATATGAAGCAAGAGAAAGATGATCTGCACAACATTTCTATCAGTCAACAACTGAGCTTTCCATCTATGGATGCTTTCCCTATTTCCTGGATCTGTTATCTTGGCATCAACCAAAATCCAGATGTATATTTGGAAACCTGCCCAATGAAAAGATGAGGCCAAATGAAATATCAATGTAATATTACATTTTCTAAAGTATCTTTTCTTCTGTGCTCTTTGTACATGTTATCCAAAACATATATTGACAGAAGATATTGCCTAGTCACTGAGTATGTTAATGAATTCCAAGAAATAAGGAACAAGGGGGGTATCTGTCAGTTTCATGCAACAAAACATCTGTGATTTCATATAAATATTTACTAGTATTTTATAATTGATAACATAAAAAGGGAAACAACATTAAATGTTATTTAGAGTTCACATTATAAAATGACAGACTGGATTGGTTGATGAGAATATCATTAAATTAGCCAAATTACTAGCAAGATATTTTCAAACACATTCATGGTAGAAACATATAAGATTGCTGTCAATCCTAGGATAGTTGTAGAAATGCAAAGGAGAAATGTGAATGGCAATTTAGCTTTTCAATGTCTTAGGCTTTAAAAACTTCAGTATTTAGAATATTGTGCAATACCAGAGAGAAACATTTCTTTTTTAAAAGTTGCATTATATTCTGAAGGATGTTCTCTGAGGAATTCCACTCAAATAGTTATTATGCAAACGTAAAAATTAGTTTTCTATCAAATAAATGTTTGAATGGGTACATAAGAGAACAGACTTTTCTCATTATTTTCATGAGATGCTTGAATAAACAAACAAAGGTGTTTTAGAGCTTAGTGTTCTAAAAAAATACATAATGTTCATATTTAAACCTCATGTATCTTTTAAAACTTCTCTATTTAGTCAACATGCTGATATTATTCCAAACCAAATATAGACTTTTCATAAAATATTTTTTTTTACTATGATTAGTCATAATCAATTTTGTTATTATAGATAGTGTGACCAACTTGTCCTAATTTTCCAAGGACTTTCCTGGTTTTAAAATTTATGGAATAATGATTTCTCTACTTTTCGCTTGCTGAACATTAGGGTTTGTGTGCATTAAGTCTGTGATTATAAATTATATTTGAATTGTTATTGCAAAAATTAAAGAAAAGGAAAGAAATGAGGGAGAATTGAGGGATGGGGAAAATTGTGGTCCTCTTCCTGGAATTGTTTCTGTAAACTACGTGATATCTGTTCTCTTTCAAGCAATAAAAGTTTAAAAAGAAATAAATAAAATAAAATAAATTTGAAATTTCCAAGGGGCCGTCACTGTGGAGAAGCAGGTGAAGTCGCTGCCTGCTGTGCCAGCATCCCATATGGGTGCAGGTTTGAAACCTGGCTGCTCCACTTCCAATCCAGCTCTCTGCTGTGGCCTGGGAAAGCAGTAGAAGATGGCCAAAATGCTTGGGCCCCTGCACTCATGTGGGAGACCCAGAAGAAGCTCCTGGCTCCTATCTTCAGAGCGGCTCAGCTCCAGCCTTTGCAGCCACCTGGGGAATGAATCAGGGGATGGAAGACTTTCTCTCTCTTTTTCTCTCTCTCTTTCTATCTCTTTGCCTCTGCCTCTCTGTAACTTTGCCTTTCAAATAAGTAAATAAATCCAAAAAAAATTGATATTTCTATGTCTTATGAGCTACCTGAATCCTGAGAAAATTGAGACTGTCAGCACCACTAGTCACAGGTCACTTAACTATCTGTTGCCATAAATACACATAATACATAAACAGCCAAGAATAACACTGTCAATATGATACACAAAATTTAAAATTCACTGTAAATGGGTTGATGATGCTGCTTATAAGAATACAAAGTAAAGTCTCTGAGTGAAATCTATTTAAAAGAAAAAACATTACTACTTAATTAATACTAAGAGATTTCAACAAAAATCAAAATTGGTTTAATATGATACTTACTTCTGTAAAAATTCTTCAGAGCCACATATACTTAGGAGATGATCTTTAGGAAATAGCTGGTCTTTTGTACAAAAATTTAGCGTTTCTGCAATTAGGTCTTTGACAAGACAGTTAGCTAAAAACAAAGGTAAATAAAAAATCAGTAAGTGTTTTTCATATATTAACTTGGAAAAATTTTTTAAGCATAAAGAACAGCAAGCTTATTATGAAGTATCACAACCATTTAGCTCCATCAACAGATATTAGAATGAGATGAATCTCATTTATTAGTCCGATTTGTTTTAGAGACTCTTTTTTTTTAAAAAAGGTTTTTAATTGTTTCATCAGACATAACTTAAAAAAGTATTGAGTTCCACATGTTAACACCTTTGTGATGTTGTAGCTCTAAAATTCTACATCAGATTTGGTAAATACTTGAGAAAGTCATAGCCTGGTAAGTATTCCAGGGATATTTTCTTCTTTGTTGTTTCAACTTAAATGAGACATATTGTCCTTGCTAAGGTGCTATCATGATAAAATAATTCTTGATTAAATATTTTAGAGCACTTATATTAGTTAATATTTAAATTCATACCTTGATATTCAGACAAGTCTACAATTTTCATGTGGTTTTCAGTGTTCTACCTTGAAGATCTGGGATTATTTTAGTTGATGTACATGGATAAATTATTTTACTACTTTGGAACAGTTTCCTCATTTGTCAAAAGGGTTTAAAATATATTTTTTTCCAGGAATCTGATACGAGGTTAAAATTTTTAAACAGCAGATAAATGTGGACGATAAATTTGTGTGATATCTTTGCTTTGAATGTAATTGTAAGTTTTCAGTGAACCAAAGGAAGTGTAGTGGACTATACTGACGACCGTTGGCCAACAAGGGTTTGTATAGCAACTGCAAAATGTAGATTCCCTTTGTGTGGGGAGCAACTGGGAGCAACTCGGACTAGACTGTTACTGGAATTAAGACTTATTCTATGCATCTGCTCTCCCACAATATGGCGCTGGGAGAGGAGGAAACAGCTTCTACACAGCTGCCTCCAGTTCAACCAATAAACAGCAGGACCTGCTCCTGATTGGAGGAGAGCAGCATACTCGGCGTGTGGGTAGCAGAGTTGGGATTGGTGGAAGAGGACTATAAAGGAGGAGAGAGACAACATGCACCAGGAACATCTATCTGAAGGAACACCTGTGCAGCCCCTGAGAGAGCCGGCCGGCGGTGTGCCGCTCCCCCGCGGAAGTGGGGAAAGTGGCAGGGGGAACCGCCCTTCCACGGAGGTGGAAGGGTCGGTAGCCAACCCGGGAAGAACCAGCAGCAAACCCGGGGAGGGCCGAGCAGACGAAAGAACAGCGCAGGGTCCTGTGTCATTCCTCCTTGAAGACGGGTAGCGACACCTTTGTCTCAGTTTTGTCAGCAATTTTTACACTTTTCTATGGCTTCTTTTACTTTTTGAGGGAAAGAATTTTGACCCAAAAAGCTAACAAAAAGTAGTGCAAGTGTTATCACTGCCACAAGTAATAAAAGGAATTTCACAGTGATGGATTTAAAAATGCAGGTTTTATGGTAGACCAAGATGCCATTAAAGAAATGGTTAGAGAAACAAATGGTAAAGATTCCAGGAAATTAAGGATTGTTTAAATCTTTTGACATAGAAGGGAGCACTTCAAGCCTACTCCCATTTGGGAATATCAACTGAAATGGTATGAACTGAAGCTAGAGGAAAACAGCTACAGCAAACTGTTGACCATAACGGCCTTGAAGAGAAGGTGAGAATCGGCCATTCTATGACAGTACGAAAATATCTCCAAAGGCGTGAATCTACTTCATTAATTAATCTAGTTCTCCCTTCTCTGGGTCCATATCCCTTATGCTACATGGAGTGAGCATGAATCATTGCTTGTCACAATTATCTTTCCAGTTTACATGAAAGACTCCATAACCCCATTTCTGTGTGGTAGTGCTATTCTGGCGTTGGTTTGATATCTCTGACTACCTGCTTCATGTCACTCTTTGGACATTTCATTATTACTTACAATCCAGCATGTCTAAACTTGAAATCACTGTCTTCCCCTTAAATTCATTATGGGTCGGTAAGTTTAAATTTCTCTCCATTTTTTAAACCAACAAAAACTCTGTCTTCTTTTAGATTTCATAGCTGTGATTTAATTTTAGCTAATAGAATCCATTCAACAATTTCTTGTACTCTCTCACTTCATGCAACCTTTCTTGTAGTCCTAACCATGTTGTCCACCTTACTGAAAAGACTAAAACTCACTTGAGCTTCTCTAGTTATCCTACTGTATACATCAGATCAAGTATTCTACTACTCCTCATCTACCCCTTTAAACAGTGTTCCTGTTTTCCTAAATTTCACTTATTCCAGCTGTGATCCTTCTTCCAACACTAGGTTCCAGCTCCATTAAACATACTTTTCTAAATCTATTCAATGTCCTCCACTTTAAAAATATTTCCCCTTTTCTTACAAGGTTATTTCCATTCAAACTTCCACTGATTCCATTCCTTTATTCACATTGTTTTTTACGTTCTCTTTAATATCAAACTAGTTGGGTCATAAACTTTATCTTCAGTTATTGTTATTCAGAAAATTGTCACTGAGAAAACTCCATGTACATGTGTAAACAAACCATGTTTTTTTCTGTTAATACTTCTATTGTCACTTAATTCATAACTCTCTCCTCTCACCACCTTACTATTTGAAATGGTGTGGGTAGAGGGACAGTTTTTCTCTAAACACTGGCTAATGATGCTCTGCATGTTTTCTTTTATTCTTTGTCTAAAGATTTATTTATGTTTTTACATGACAGGCAGAGTGACAGAGGGAGCAGGAGAGGCAGAGAGAGATTCGATCTTTCATCCTCTGATTCACTCCCCAAATGTCTGCAACTGTCAGGTTTGGGTCTGGCATTGACCAGGAGCCACGAGCTCCACACTGGTCTCCCATGTAGGTGGCAGGGATCCAAGTACTTGTGTCATCATCTGCTGTCTTCAGGCTCATTAGATGGAAGCTGATTCAGAAGCAGAGGTAAGACTCTATACCAGGCAGTCTGATACGGCATGCAGCTATCCCAAGCAATGGCTTAACATGCGGTACAATAACAGCCAACTTCATTTTCTTAAGTGTGTCTTTTCTCATCTTCTACATCCTCCTCCATATACTTTTAAGACCTTTTATGGCATGGACACTTGGAATCTCTTACACTAAATAAAATGACCTAATCTCTTCACTACAACTCTTATGGCCTCTGACTTGGCTTTTACAACAAAGAAATTTTGAGAGCAGGGCTGGAGGGGGGCGAATTTGTTGGAAACTGACTATTGTAACTTGGAAGAATGGAAGTGGTGTCCCTAGTTCACAGTTACTTCCTCTTTTTCAGTAACTGAAGTCAACACAACCCAGACCCAAGTCATTCTGATTGGATCCAGACACAACACCAATGACTCTGTCTAGGAAATCAGCATCTTGCCTTTAGAGATGGGGAATTTGAGTCAGCAGAGACTGAATAGTCTTTGGGTGGGTGACCACATAGCACATATGCTTGAGAGTGAGACTTTCTGTGTGTTTTGGAGAAGCAAAGGAACTGAATGAGCAGAGAGTAAGAGAGGCACGGGAAGCAGTCACACAGAGAGATGAGGTCAGAGGTGCGCAGGGAGTTTGAAGTGCTTGGTTATTGTGTTTTTATTACATTGCTATTTCTCTGTTGAATTCATATTCTTTTTATAAAGATTTATTTATTTATTTATTTGAAAGTCAGAGTTACACAGAGAGAGAAGAAGAGGCAAAGACAGAGAGAGAGAGGTCTTCCATTGCTGGTTCACTCCCCAGTTGGCCCCTGCACTCATGTGGGAGACCTAAAAGAAGCTCCTGGCTCCTGGCTCCTGGCTTTGGATCGGTGCAGCTCCGGCTGTTGGCTGTTGTGGCCAATTGGGGAGTGAACCAGCAGATGGAAGACTCCCTCCCCCCTCCCGCCCCCTTCCCTCCCTCTCTCCCTCCCTTCCTTCCTTCCCCCTCCCTCTCTCCCTTCCTTCCTTCCTTCCTTCCTTCCTTCCTTCCTTCCTTCCTTCCTTCCTTCCTTCCTTCCTTTCTCTCTCTCTCTCTCTCTCTCTCTCAAATAAAAGGGAAAATAAATATTTCAAAATGTAAAAAAGTATTCTAAAACTTGATAGAAGTAAGATTTCTCAGATGAATTTTCTAGTGTACAAATTCCTGAGATATTTCTCAGGAGACTGAATCAGTATGTTCGCCCGTGCTGGTGGGAGTGGGGTGCACAGAGCTATGACTGTGTATCAGTGCCTACACAAACCTCACAATTCACGTATATTAGAATGAAGTTGATTTTGCTAATGTATCATCTTTATCTAGATTATTTTAAAGTTCAGATTATTTACAATATGTTAAAAACTTGTTATTAAGTATTTTACAGCATGCAAGTAAAAGTATTCTGGGCTGACCATGCAAAAAGAGTTCTTGAAGACAATCCCTCTCTCCCTCCCCCTCAAGTGTTAAGTCTCCCAGCTGCTTTCTTATCTCACATCAGGACAAAACAGTAGCAAATGATGATTCTTCTAGTAATTTCAATCTGTGATTTGAAGACCATATATCGATTCCAGTTTTACAGAGATTTTTCTACTTGTAAGGATGCTTACCATGTGCTGTGAGATGAAGTAGTTGCATTGAGTTACCAGTAAAAATATTTATCTTAAATTTGGTGTTAGAAAAGAGTTGGTGTGGAAATGCTGTAGCAGCGCTCCAGATCTTCCCAGAATTGGAATTAATGTCAGCTGCACGGTAAGCTTCTCTTATTCTGAAATATGTATGTGAAAAAAAATACTTAGAACAGAGCTGCAATATATAATTTAAAAATATTTCCCACAGCATAATAGTAAGAAACTTCATACAGTATTTTTATAGAGAAGATTTAAAACATGAAAACAACTAGCAACTGACTTGTTGTAGAGTACAGTTAGCTGGCCAGATCGCTAGATTACGGCTACCAAAGGCAGGTGCAAGGAGCTGGGAGGCCTTCTCAGGAGAACTCACTGGAAATAACTAAGAACATTTTGTCATTCCATAATAAGAGATTTTACTCTGAACATCACCAATTGATACACTTACATTATTTTGATGCCTGAATTCCTCTTCTTGGTTTGGAGACTTCTGTAAATTTTTTTTAAATTTTCATCAAAATTTTTAAACATTTTTCCTATTTTATTTACATTTTTGTATTTTCCACAAAACTTTGGATTTTATAACAACTATTGAACTTAAAAATTATTTGTACATTCTAATCAATTGTTTACTACATAAAGGGATCAAAGAATTCCCAAATAGTTTAAACTTGGAGCCAGAGCCTTGAGTCTGGATCTTGTTGTTTTCGATTCATAATGTGATAGCCAGCAGTAAGTTATTTGACAAGGTTCTTTGTTCCAAACAGGTTATTAATATTTACTTTAAATGTTTTTTGTGAAGATTAAAAGAAAAAAATGGCATCTAGGAGAACTTCAGAATGTAAATCAATAGGTTCATGCAGTATCTTAATTATTATATATTAGCTCCATCCTTGTAGATCCATATTTTATATCTACATGTAGACTCTGATATAAAGATATTCACAAATAGTTATTTAAAATACTTTTGATGGGGTTAACCATTTGTCATTTGATTTAGTGCTTAAGATGCTGCTTGGGATATGCATATCCGATCCTGGAGTGCCTGGGTGTGAGTCTTGGCCCTGCTTCTGATTCCAGCTGTGTGCTGATGTGCGTCCTGGGAGGCAGCTGGTGTTGGCTCTGGTGCTGCATCTGTGCCTTTCACAGGGAGACCCAGGCTGAGTTCTGGGCTCCTGGCTTTGGCATTGTAATAAAGTATGCCACAATTAGGACTCTCATATAGCAAATTTAAAACCTCTCTTTAAGGAATGCAAATGGAATGTAAAAGGAATGCAAATGATATATTTAAGTATGATAATTTAAATATTAAGAAGAAGAAAAGAAGAAACAGATGTAATTGGATGTGTAAATCAATTCTATTATTTCCTTCCAGAAATTTTGGAGATTCTCTTAGGAAACTCGGCTTTCAAATCAAATTTGATCCTCTTAAGAAAACCCAGGACATTTTAGATCCTCAAAGTTACCACTGAATGGATAGTTTGTATACAAAATAATTATGCACGTATGTATGTGATCATTTTATGAGCGTTATTTGTCAATAATTGTTAACATTCAAGAAAAGTATGTGTGGATGTAACACGTGGCTTCCTTTTTTACTCTGGAATTATGGCTTGGTAGTATTTTTTTAGTTCTCATGGTTCTTTTCAAAGATGCCACAGGGAAAAATGACATTTGTGAGCTTGGGAAAACGCACCATAAGCTACTGACAAACCATCACATAAAATATTTTCATGTCACTCACTGATGCATCCACCAGAAGATTTCACCTATGAATATGAAATTATATTTTTAAAAAAAGAGTTGCCGGAGGAGCTAATAATAAGCATTCTGCCAGTGGAGTTGTACTGAAGAGTTGTATCGTACAGTGTTAAAAGAGCCATTTCTCATGCTCAGAAGCAGAAATTACCACATTTTAGATTTAAACTGGCAAGTTTATAGCAATGCTTGTCATTTTGTTACAGTGAGGAGCTTATTCCTGAATCAACATTGATAACTTTAAAGACCCCAATTCAGGAATTCAAATGGCTCAATATCTGAAGTACCATTTAAGATTTTATTTAAAGATTTTATTTATTTATTTGACAGGTAGAGCTATAGATAGTGAGAGAGAAAGAGACAGAGAGAAAGCTCTTCCTTATGTTGGTTCACTCTCCAAATGGCCTCAATGGCCGGAGCTGCGCTGATCTGAAGCCAGGAGCCAGGTGCTTCTTCCTGGTCTCCCACATGGGTGCAGGGGCCCAAGCACTTGGGCCATCTTTCTACTGCTTTCCCAGGCCACAGCAGAGAGCTGGACTGGAAGAGCAGTAGCCTGGACTAGAACTGGTGCCTATATGGGATGCCAGCGCCACAGGTGGAGGATTAACCTACGGTACCACAGCGCTGGCCCTAAGATTTTATTTTTTTAACTAGAGCAAGAAATTAATTGCTTATGAAACACTTTTGTGGATTTCAGATGATTTGTTTTGTATTTCTGTATGCATTGCATTTGGACCTTCCAATATGGTTAAACAGTTTTTTAAGGCAGGGACCTTGTTTTTGTTAGTTTTTTTTTTAATTTGAATATTTCTGTGCAAAACAAATTATTAGACATGAAAATAGCCTTTAAATTAGTGATCAAATAAATGATTAAAATTTTTAACCCCAAGTGTCATTTAAGAAGGAGAGAAAGCTTGTAAATCAATGTATATTTTTTATATTAAACACAACAGCCATAAAAGGATAAAAATCAGGAGAATTAAAATGCAAATGCATTAATGTAAAAGTTTTTTCAGTGATAGTAACAGAAGAGCTGCAATTAGATAAATTTTAATTGTTAATAAGGAACTGATCTTTAAAGAAGACATCTAGAGGAGCTGGCCTTATGGCATAGAGGGTTAAGCTGCTGCTTGCAACGTGAGCATCCCATATTGGAACACAGGTTTGAGTCCTTTCTGCTCAGCTTCAAATCCAACTTCCCGCCAATATACCTGGGAAGGCAGCAGAAAATGGCCCAAAGCCTTCTGCCTCTGTCACTCCCATGAGAGATCTCAGTGGAGTTCTGGGCTACTGGCTCCGGACAGGCCTAGACTATTCCGTCGCTGGCTTTTGGGGAGTGAACCAGGGAATGGAAGATCTCGCTCTCTATCCCTCTCTCTGTTGCTCTGCTTTTCAAATAAATAAACTTAAAAATCAAAATTTAAAAAGACATCTACCTTTATAGCATAAACTAATCTTTAGCAAAAAAAAGGTGTTTTTTGGGGTAAATATCCCCAATTGATTTTATATTTCTACATAAACACACCTGTATTTGTAATATTTGTAGTATTTGTATTATTTTGGCAACCCATACAAGATAAGCTTGAGGCACTCCAACGCTTTTAATTAAAATATTCCAGGTAGAAACAATAGGCAAGAGCTATTTTAGGACTGAGCCAATGGTCAGTTACTTATATCATTAAATGAGAAAGTCACTGCAAACGAAACTATCAATAAACCCCATGGCAGGTCTTCAGTTACGAAATATTCAACCTTAATATATTTTCATAGAGGAAAAATCTGTTTTAAATAAGCAAAAATAATAACAGAAGTTGATTAATGGGATGTCTAAAATTTCTATTTTTCACTGTGTTTGCATTTTAGGACTTTGGCACCTTATACAGAAAATTAATCCATTCAGTGATATAAAACACATTTATTCAGACACAAGAACTTCAAAGTGATGAAATAGCAATACTTACCTATTTACTTTGTCACAAAAAGAAGCTAGACTTTTATTACTCCCTTGAGGCACTTCAGCCAACCGAATGGAACAACCTATTGACTTAAATTTTTGAAAATATGCTACATTAATACAGTTTGATGCAGAGCAAAAATGATTACAATTCTGTTATTTTAATACTATTTTAAAGTTTCATTTGCTTTTAAAAATACTTTTAGATTTTTAAATTGAAATAAGAATTGCATATAGAAAAATATATATTTCATTCATTCATTTTTACCTAGAAACCTTTTCCTTAAGGTATACAAATTCTATGCATTTCATATATACAAATCTAGGAACATAGTGATTCATCCCACCTTACCCTCCCTCCTGCCTGCACTCCCACCCTTTTTCCTCTTCCTTCTCCTATTCCCATTCTTATTTTTTACTAAGATCTATTTTCAATTAACTTCATATATATAAAATTAACAATACACAGAGTTCAAAAAAAATTGTTCTTCAACAGTCATGAAATTTTATCTTTCGCAACAAAATGGATGCAATTGAAAAACGTTATGTTTAGTGAAAAGTATAACACCAAAAAGACAAATACCATATGTTCTCCTTAATCAGTGGTAACTAATAGAGTACATAAAAGGTAATGTATAGAAGTGAAATTGACACTCTGAGTTGTAATGAATTTCAACAGCCCTTGTCTCGACTGTTGAGGAAATATATAGACATTAACTAAATAATTTGAGTTATAAAGAATATATCCAGTTATATCAATTACCCACTTGAAACTTTTTTTCATTTTAGAATGATCTTGGGCATCTCTTTTTGTCTATGTGCACTCTATTTGGTAACTATTATTCAGATTTCTATCACCATATATTGTGTGCATGTGCTTTTATGTTTCTGGCTTCTTCCACTTAAGTGATTTATATTTTTAAAATTTTTCCATTTAGACATATATAAGGAGAGTAAATTTCAAGGAAAATGAATATTACTTATTAATTCTATTTTCCAAGATATTTTGGCATTCCCTCTTGTCAATAGTTCATTTTTATGAGTTAATAGTATTCTATTGGAAGCCATAGTAATCCATTATTCGTACTTTGGAAACGTATATTCATTAAATAAAAGTTAAAAAAAAAAATAAAAAAAAAAAAATAAAAAAAAAATAGTATTCTATTATAGGACTAACCCAAAATTTGTTTACGTATTTTCTTTTTGCAGGATATTTGCATTGTTCTGAGCTTTTGGGTATTATAAAGGAAACTATTGACTTTTATACATAAGTGATGATGCAGCCATATGCATAAATAATTCTGTCAAGAGAGCAATGTGTGATTTGTTTTTAAAGAAATCATTTTTGCTTTATTTATTTTAGAGCTCTGTTACTGTGTACATATACATTAAATTTCTTGTCTCACCTGATTGACCCTTTTATGATTACCAAATGAGCCATTTTTATCCTAATAATTCTTTGTCTTGAACACTACTTTATCTGATATCAAATAGCCACACTAGCTTTCTTTTTGGGGATGATTATGAAAGATTTTATTTATTTTATTTCAATCTACCTATCCCTTTTTTTTTTTTTTTTGACAGGCAGAGTGGACAGTGAGAGAAAGAGAGAGAGAGAAAGGTCTTCCTTTGCCATTAGTTCACCTCCAATGGCCGCCGCGGCTGGCTTGCTGCGGCCGGCGCACCACGCTGATCCGAAGCCAGGAGCCAGGTGCTTCTCCTGGTCTCCCATGGGGGGCAGGGCCCAAGCACTTGGGCCATCCTCCACTGCACTCCTGGGCCACAGCAGAGAGCTGGCCTGGAAGAGGGACAACTGGGACAGAATCCAGCGCCCTGACTGGGACTAGAACCCGGTGTGCCGGCGCCGCTAGGCAGAGGATTAGCCTGTTGAGCCGCGGCGCCGGCCCTTTGTTTCTTAATTTTGTTTCTTTTAGACAGTGGTTGAGTATTCATTAAGTATTTTGTCTACATCTCCCTTTTATTTAGAATGTTTACTTTATTCACATTTAATATTTATGGAATTTAGATTTAAAACCACCATATTTATATTTGTTTCTATTTTTCTCTTTATTTCATTCTATTTCTCCTGGCTTTTTAATTTTACTTGATTTTCACTATTTCTTTTAATTCCTCTCAAATTTTCTTCATGTTGTATCTTACTGGATGCGCTGGATCTAGAAATTATAGTATGCAGCCTTAATAGATATCAGTATACTTAGAGATAATACTGTACTATGGCACTTAAAATTAAAGAATAGCAAAAAAAAACATTTTCTTTCTCTTACACTACATGGTATTTTTATCATGTAATTTTATATCCACATGAACATGCTATTATTTTGCCTTGGCCAGATGTCTATCAAAGTATACTCAATGTTCCTATCTGTTGATTAAAACACCCAGTGAATTTTTTTCATTCCAGATACTATGTTTTCAGTACTAGAAACGACATGTGTTTTTGTTTGTTTTTCATACTTTCTAATTTCCAGCTGAGATTCTCATTGGACTACTCATTATGAATATCTTTTTCTTTACCTACTCAAGCTAACCTGTAATAACAAGTTTAAAGTCCTAGGTAGTTAATTCCAACAGCATTGTTGACTGAATCGCTTTCTATTGACTGGATTATTAACTGGATTGTGGGTCAAAATTCCCTACTTCTTTACATATCTATCCTTTGTTAGTATATGTTAGCTATCATAGATGGCACATTATGAATTGAGCTGCTGCTTTTTAAAAAAAAAATAACGTGTGGTAATTAGAAATTTCGTCGTCTTGTCAGCCTTGTTTTTATTTATTGTTGAGCCACATCTACTTTGGTTACCATAGCATTCAGTTTAAATTATGAATTTTATTATTAAGAGATGGCTTCCTGGGATCTAATTTGACTGCATGAGTGTCCAGTTATTTCTCTTCTCTTGCTTGGCTATAACACCTGCACACTATATGGCTTCCACTTTGTAGTGAACATAATCACTATCCAATTTTCAGGCCAAAAGCTGACCATGACTGCTAAACCTTATAAGCACATCCTAATTCTGGGTTGAGAATGGGCAGTAAATCCCTTAAATGTTTCTCACCCCAACTCATTAAATTCCTTCCTTTTCTTAATTTTTTTGCTGTACAAAGATCAGCTGCTTTTATCACCTGGAATTGCAGGCTCTGCCTCCTCAGCTCAGTGGCACTGTGCTAGATTTGGGCTCCATCAGTCTGCAAGGCAACAGTAAACTGCCCTGAGACAGAAACCAGGATGTTCAGAGTTCTCAAGGATCAGTATTTTTAAGGATCAGTTTTGCTCAGTGCATGGAGTTAGCTGCTTCATGCATTTTACTTAACTTTTTAGTTACTGTCAGCAGGGGGGGGGGGGCAGGTTAACACTTATTGCAATGTTGTGATCAGAATCAGAGGCCCCTAAGATTTATTTATTTTAAATTCAGATAATTTGAGATGTTTTCTCTTTTGCAAGTGCATCAGGTAGAATGAGCTTCTTCTCCGATGCACTCATCCCATCTGTTATTTTACTGTGTTGCCACTGTTTTTGTATTATTTTGAGCAAGATGATGTTGCTGAATTCAGGTATCATGTCTTTCCACTTTGCATCCATTCTGCACAGCATATGAAAATACATTGTAATGATTTGATAATTACTGAATATATGAAGAATGCCTTTACATTCCCTTATAATTTACAGTTCCAATAATGTTTTCCATTTTGCTGGTTTCCTGGTTTTACTTTTCACTCTGTCTAGATATTATAAGTAAAGAAATCTTCAAATACTGTGTAGGAAATTTGGATGGATACTAAAATGATTGGAAAGCTACTTATGAAACCATTAGTATAAGTTGTACATGATTATGTAATTTCTTGTTCTTTCAATATTCGAATGGAAGTTGCTTGCCAATTGTATATTTTAGGGATCTCTGAGTAAAGGGACATTTTTGCCACTGATAATGACAAAAAATTTTAAATCATTGTAGTATGACTCAAAATATAAATATTGAGTATACAAATACAGAGTATTTGTATTTGTGTGTGTGACTAACACAATAAGAACAAGAAACACTACTAGCTCTGCCTCCCACTATGATATTTATCCAGTAAGATATAAGTCCTATAACTTCTTAGTTTTGATAAACCTGGAACTTTAAAGAGAATATTTAAAAATATATTTTATTTTTTTAGAAAAATAGTCCAAAATATGGAATTTGTAAAAATAAATGACTTTTTCAAAGTAATATTAATAGATTTCCCAATGTAAGGTTAGTTTTCCTCATTATCAAATTAATGCAGTACATTCTTGAATGATTCTTCCAGATTCCTATGTTTAAGACCACTTACAGAACACGTACCTCTATGTTCTTTGGCCGTGTGTTCTCCAAAGTCCTTGGTAGAAAAGAACCTTCAAAGAGCATCAGGGAAGGGCCCACAATGTTCACATGTCCGCTTCTTTTACTCTTTTCTCCTGGCATGAAGTCAGCTGAGAAGGATGGATGTAGAGGAGGAATGGTACTTTTGAATTTCAAATAGTAGTTAGGATTTTCATTTTCCATTTCCGCCTGTGGATTAATTTTACCCACACAAGTGGAAAATGGGGTGAAAATATTGAATCTGGAATCTTCGGCTCCATGATATTGTCTAACAGGGTATCCCCAGGAACTTTCTTTGTTCATCTGCTGAGAGCTTGGTAGCACAGAAGGACTAAAACCTATCACTCGTGCTTTTGTACCTTGATGCCAAGAGAGCTCTGGGCAGTTAGAAGTGAATTCATTCAAAGGAATTTGGTGGGTTTCATCTAACGGATACCTTTTTGAGTTCCAGTTTGGTGCACTGAGCCCACTAAAGTTGTTTTCTCCCATTTCTTTCTCATAGAGGGGAATTTTACTGCTTATGTCATCTACTAGCTGATCAAATCCCAGACTGACTTGGCCAGAGGAAAGGGTTTGATTCACAGAATGAAATCCTTTGTGTTTATGCTGGTCTTCGTGTGATCCATCGGGATTTAGATCTGTTTGCCAACAATATGCCATTCTTTATTTCATGTAACTGAGCAGGTTGACTCTGCTCCAAATACCTCCTTGATGGTATTATAAAAGATGATAGAAGGTTTTCCTAGAAAAAGTATAAGAGGCAAAAAATATTTAATTAGATATAAAGAAGACTGCAAAAAATATGCAAAATAAATTCAAACAAGTGTTTTGAAATTTTTCCTTGGCAAATGATATAATTCCTTGGGTGCTATGAAACTCTGTCAGGGATCACTTCATTATAAGCCTAAGGGTAGTATTGACTTTGGATAGATTCATGAAATTCCTGTGGTAGAAAAATAAGTCCATTTCAATTGTGATGAGGGTTTCATAAATATGTCCAAAGTCAAAATTTCCCTTTGGACTCATTTACCTATTGAGTACCTTCTTGCCTATAACTTCAATATTTCCCTCTATATTCAATCATTTGTAAGCATTTAACATACTAAAGACTCAATCTCTCCCTCTTTAAATTTATTTGAGAGGGCATAAAGGAGGGAAGGTGAAGGAGAGAAGAGAGGAAGGGCTCATTTATTGGTTCACTCCCTAAGTGCTCTCAACTGGGAACTCAGTCCAGGTTTCCTACATAGGTGGCAGGCACCCAATGAAATGACTCATCACTGCCACCTCCCAGAAGTAGAGCCAGAGTCAGGACCAAACCCAGACACTCTATGTGGGTCAGGCACAGCTCAACTGCTGGGCTGAACACCTGTTCCCTAAAGCCTCTCTCTCATTAAACAGTCCTTTCTTTATTAGGAGCTATGCCATATTTAGACATAATCTTAACTCTTTTCTGTCCTTTATAGCCAATCATATTAATGGTTGGCTGGACTCTTTCCTCCCCTTCCCAAAACTCTTGAAGCAAACTCCTTTTTTGCAAACTCCTTTTTCCACTTCTCTAAAACTACTTCTAGTTCTTCAAAGAGCTTCATGTCAATAAATTCAACTGGCATTTCTCAGTCTTGTATTAAGTTTATTTCTCTGCTGCATTTGATACCATTCACCATACTTCTTTACTTTAAAATTGTTGGAGAAATTGAAAGTTAAAATTATTTGCCTCACCTTTAAGGGTTATTTATTATGTATTTTAATAACTATATGTATGTTAAATGTAAAAAGAGTTCAAGAGGATAATTATGATAATGACTAGTTATCAAATCCAATTCTCTATCAATATTTTCTTCAATATAAATTAATTTTAATAATATTGGCATCAAAAAAATTTAAAAATTCATGATCATCTGAGGAATAATGAATAATATTTGTTATATCTTCAGTCAAGTAACAGAACTGATAGATTTGGGAATTTTAACAGATGCATGGGCAAGGTTTATAGAATGAAATAAAATGAAAATACCAGATAATGAATCCTTAGATATATGTCAAATTATTCTAGTAATTCATGAGTCACACAGATTTTTTTTTTTTTTTTGACAGGCAGAGTGGACAGTGAGAGAGAGAGAGAGACAGAGAGAAAGGTCTTCCTTTGCCATTGGTTCACCCTCCAATGGCCGCCACGGCTGGCGTGCTGCAGCCGGCGCATCGCGCTGATCCTATGGCAGGAGCCAGGTACTGATCCTGGTCTCCCATGGGGTGCAGGGCCCAAGCACTTGGGCCATCCTCCACTGCACTCGCTGGCCACAGCAGAGAGCTGGCCTGGAAGAGGGACAACCGGGACAGAATCCAGCACCCCGACCGGGACTAGAACCCGTCACATAGATATGTTATTACATAATCCAAATTTCTTTGACAGGAATTACTATTTTTAATCTCTAGGTTGGTAGTAAAAGTTATATTAAAGCAAATTGCCTCCCTTTACTTGTCTGTCATAGACTCAGAATTTGTCAGCAAGTGTGACTTTAACAATCAGACCTAATATCCTATTCCAGACTTCCATGGCCTTGCTTTCTCCTTCATAACTTATAATTGTAGATGTAGTTATGTTAAAGGGACTTTGATAATTAGGGGGATTTCAAAGTCTTGATTTTTGCGGTTTTTAAATTTACTTTTGAGAGTTCTCTATACAAAGTATGAGTAATTTGATGCTAAAATTAAAGATTATTTTAAGCTTGGCCAATTTATTATAAATAATAATGATAATTATAATGATATTTAATGTTTAGCCTCTGCTAATGCTCTACACACATACACATGTTTACATATGTTAACATATTAATTTCTCATCACAACTTGTCATATACATTGTATTTTTACCATCACTGAACAAATTAGGAAACTAGAGCTCCAAAAGTGAATCAAATCATGTTAAATTTAGAATTTGTGTTCACATTTAAATTTTTTAATTATTTATTAATTTTAATGACAGGAAGGGAGGAAGGGAAAGGGAAGGAGAGATCTCATCTGCTGGCTCACTCCCTAGTTTCTTGCAAACAGGGACCAAAGCCAGAAGTCACACACTTGAACAAAGCCCCCCATGTAGGTGTGAGGGACCTTACCAGTTGGGCTATAACTTGCTGGCTTCCAGAATGCACATCAGCAGCAAGATGAAATCATAGCAGAACCAGGACTTGAACCCAGGCATTCTGATATGGGATGTAGGCATCCCAACTAAGGGTTTAACCTCAAGGCCAAATGCCCACCCTCCCATATCTATTTTAAATAAGGAGTAAAGGAAGGCACAGGACGAACATGTCATGCTCATGTGATAATTGGAGAATGCCTGGAATTAGGCTCTGCACCATGGAATTGGCTCTACTCAAATCATTTCTACCAAAAAGGGTTAAACACTTTCTAATTTCTATTAATAAAAATATTTTTTTCAAAAATTTTTCATAGCAAACTTCAAACTCGTCTGGAAATTTCATTATCTTGAGATAAAGGAGAATAAGTAATACTTCTCACACTGGAAATGTAATAAAAAGGTCTCTTCAGATTCATTTTTTCAACATTAACTTTTGTGATTTTAAGAAATTTGTGGGGCTGGTGCTTGGCATAGTGAGTAAAGCTGCTGTTTGCAGTGCTGGCATCCCATATGAGTTCTGTTTGAGTTCCAGCTGCTCACTTCCAATCCAGTTATAGCATGGCAGACCAGCAGAAGATGGCCCAAGGTCTTGGGTCCCTGCATCTGCATGGGAGACCCAGAAGAAGCTCCTGGTTCCTGGCTTTGGATTGGCACAACTCCTGCCACTGTGGCCAGTTGGGGAGTGATCCAATGGATGGAAGACCTGTCTTTCTCTCTCTCTCTCTCTCTTGCTCTCGCTCTCTGCCTCTCCTCTTTCTGTATAACACTGACTTTCAAATAAATAAATAAATCTTTTTAAAAAAAAAGAAATTTGCAATAATTTCAAGTCTTCTGTTTAACAACATAATTGAGAAGCTATTTCTTAATTTATAAACAAATCAAAATGGTGTTTAGTGGGAGCTGATAAATATTTGCATTTTGCTTTACAAAGTAATGTATACAAAAACTAAAAGTCATATAACTTGATTTTAATCAGAATTACACATATAGTTTAGCAGCAATTCTGACATAATTGACAGAGCTATCCATTCTTGGTTTAAGGAATACTTCAGAACTATGGAAGTTGTGTATGGAAGCAGATTTAGGACCCCCAGATATTCCCATGTTTAATCTCTGGAACCTGTATTAAATTAAGTGTACAGATGGAATCAAGTTTCCTAGCCAGCAGACCTGAAAATAGGGTGGTTATCTGGGTGGTCCCAGTGTACTCATAAATATCTTTGAAATTTGACCCAAAGCAGAAAAAATCAGAATGGTGATGCAAAGTGAGAACTGAATTTGCTTTTGCTCTCTGAATATGGAGATAGGGGTTGTGAGCCAAGAATTGCGAAGTGCCTTTCAAAGCTGGAAAATGCAAGACAACAAATTCTTAGTGCCTCTAACATGGAATACAGTTTCATTTTAACCAGGTGAGACCTATATTGGACTTTGGACCTACAGAGCTATAAAGTAATATACAGATTTGCATTGAAAAGCCACTAAAATGTGAAACTTTTTTCTAGTACTTAGAAAATGAATACATTATGCAAATAAGAAGCAGCTTCCTAAATTGATTGGAAAATCAGAGACTACAAGATTCATAGAATGACAATCATTTTAAGTAACACTCTGACCTCAGTATCAGCCCTTAAGACTTCCTGATCTGGCTGAAAAGCCCAGGAGAACATTTCAGGCAGGAGAAGCCAAGACACTGTGGCAAAAAATGTTCTACATGAAGAACCTCTGTAAGTGAGATCCCAGTGGAAAGAAGGGGCCATCAAAGAAGGATGTACTTTTCTCTAAAGGCAAGAGAGAACTTCCACTTTACTTATGGCCTTATCCAAATACTGAAGAGTTTGTGGACTCAAAAGGCTTCCAAAGCATAGGCAGCTCTTGTCAAGAGCCTCAGGTGGTCACTGACATCATACAGAAGAGTGTTAGCTGTTAAATTAACAACAAGAGGCACTGTGCACTTACTCCCCATGTAGGAACTCTGTCTTCAATGAGTTGTATTGAGAGTTAACCATAAAATCAGTTCTCAAATGGTTTTGTGTGTGTGTCTATGTGTGTGTGCAAATTGTTGAAATCTTTTCTTAGTATAGAGTTGGTCTTCTGTGTACAAAGTTAATTGAAAAATTAATCTTAATGGAGAACAGGAATAGCAAGGGAAGAGGTAGGGGAAGGAAGGGTGGAAGTGTGGGTGAAAGGGCTGATATGTGGGAAGAATAACTATATTCCTAACATTGTACTTATGAAATTTATATTACTTAAAAATAAATTTAAAAAGAAAAAAATTACATACAATAAAATGTGAGGTGACGAATATGTTAGTTTGATTGCAGCAATCATATTATAATGTACATGTATCCAAACATCACATTGTATACATTTAGTATGTATGATTTTTATAAATTATACTTCCATAAAGCCAGAAAATTTTTATTTAAATAAAGATGGATACTTAAAAAAAAGAAGTATAGAGAACCACACAAAAATAGTCCTCTATCATCTGTTGGAATATTCAGCAAAATTCAAATGACTATTTTAAGGATGTTATTAATAATGACAACTTTTTAGAATACCTTCTATTCAGTTCAACTAGCAAGAAATCATCTTTTATTGAG